ATCATGTGCAGCACACGCTCTGTCCAACACACATGCACGTACCTGCTGCTTTGTTCTCGACCTACAACATCTGTAGAACTGTTTGCACGCTTGGGAAAAAATGCTGATGTTTGCTCTAACACTGACACCTCCTCGGGTACACGGGATTTCGTTTCAGCGTGGTACCGCTTTTGAAGTTCAACTTTTATGTTGTGAAAGGCTTCTGAACTAAATTACTGCCCCAAAACATCAGCATCTTTGCTTTAGGGACTTGAAAATTTTTACTGGAGAATCTCTAGAATAATTCTTGAACATGGGGTAAGAGAACAGATGACTTCAATACTCCATGGAAAACAAATGAATCCTCAGTCCTTGGGCAAAAATTTTCGAAGAATACTTATCAAGTGGCTTTGTACCAAGAAGAATAAATCCACTAAACCCATCTTGCAATCTGAACACCACTGCCAGTGAATGAACTCAGAAATCTCTCTGAGTTCACAGGACCATAGGACAGATCCTATTAACAAATAAAGATTACTACTGCCAGGAGGCAGGACTGCAGGACAAGATACACATCCCAGCTCTACTCCTGCAGCCTTTCAGGTGGCCATAAAGCACAGCTCAGCAACCACCGGGCAGCACCTAAAAGCCCACAGCCTCCCTCCGCTGCGCTTTTCCACTCGCAGCAATTTTGGTCCTTTGATTCAGCTGCACACTTGACCTGGCTAAACCTTCCTCCAGCTGAGCGAGCTGCGTGTCGTGGCAGCGCCGGGTTGTGAAATAAAGTGGGAGGCCTCGTGTGCTCATTTGTGTGTCAGTACCCAGAGTGCTGCTCCTGGCTCCCAGCTCCTTCATAGAAGTGCTGCTGGGACTGGCACCGTGGGAACAGGGCGCTGCTGCAGCGTGGGAGTGCAGGGACAGCTCCCCCGTGGGTAGGGACAGCTCCCCCGTGGGTAGGGACAGCTCCCCCGTGTGCAGGGACAGCTCCCCCGTGGGTAGGGACAGCTCCCCCGTGGGAGTGCTGCCCGTGTGCAAGGACAGCTCCCCCGGTCCTGTTCTACACAGCTCTGCCCAGGCTGCGGGTGTGCCCCCATCCCAATGCCCTGGAACTTCAACAAGACTTCAACAGACACAGTCAAACCCACCCTCCTCCAACAAAGCCTTCAGGGCTGTGTCTGAGCTCACTCAGGGCCAGGGCAGCATCCTGAGCTGTCACACAGGAGGGACGCACCAAGGCCAGATCTGCCCCACAACAAAACACTCACCAAGCACCAGCTACTGAGCTCAACAAAAAGGCCCTGGCACTGATGGTGAATTTCTAGGACCCTGTTTTGCAAGCCTGTCAAGTTATTCACATTTTAGATCTCTAGAAATCCCCCAGAATGGAGTGGTTGTGCTCCACACCAGGAACAGGGGATGAAATGAGAGGCAGGTGGGGAGATGGGACACCCACATGAGTAAAGGCCACGCTGGGAGGGAGACTCTGAAGGACCAGGGAGAGAGCAGAGCAGAACACCACCTGCATGGGCATGCAAGAAGGTGGAAAACCCAGTGAAGGACACAAAAAAAGTCAAATGGAGAAATGATCATGTGGCTCAAGACAAGAAAGAGCTTTGGGAAGTGGCAGGAAGGTGAAAGACCTTATGAGAGGTCAATCACCCATCCAAGCACAAATAGGGAGGATATAAAAATCAAAATCTTAGAAGAAGGTAAGAAAAGCAATTCAGGCCTCTATGGTTCCTGCTGTAGTGGGGACTCCAGCTGTCACAACTCCCTCCAGTTTTTGGCTAAGACCTTTTGCTGACCTCACACAGACCCAGACAAAAGATTCTGCAAGTGGCAAGACCAGGCACCAGGAGTTGTTCAACCAACCCAGCAGACCGAGAGACAAGATACCTACATGCACACATCCCCCTCCCAGTCCAGATGGATGGATATGCACAGCAGATACTTGATGCATACAGAAATATGCATCGGGAATGAAATATCTAGGAAAGCTACGCCTTGTAGCAAAGCTTTAAAACCACACCAAGGAAAAAAGGGAAAAAAAAGAGAGAGAGAGAGAAAGAGAGAGGAAAAAAGGCGGTTTTACCACTACGCTGAATCTGCAACAGGGGCTTGTGCCAACCCAGCTCCTCCATTTAAGTCAGACCCTTAAAAGGCAGAGCTGTGCTGGCAGAAGTCTACAGACCTCATCACAGAGACCTCATGAAGACACACGAAAAGGTCAAAAAACTCACTGCTGCTTGAACAGCCATAAAAATGGTCATGTGCATCCCATGCTACCTCAGTCCTACCAGAGCCCCAGGGAGACACAACACACAAAGCAATGTGGCTCCACACAGAGAAAGAAATAAATTTTAAAAACTGACAAAAAGGCCACTCCTGAGAGCAGAAAGCCCAAAATCTGACACAGCAGCTTATGGCACACCACGCACAGCAACACCTCTGTATAAAACAGAACAAAGCAAAGATCTACATCAAAAAGGAAGCCCACCACAAAGACACATGTGCTTCACCCTTTCATCCCCGGAGACAGCCAGAGCCAGAGCCCCAGAGCCTCCCAGAACCCACACAGACCCACAGCAATCCACACAGGCACACAGAATGGGACCATCCCGTCATTTCCTCACTCAGCACCTCAACTTTACTCCGTTCCTTGCCCCTGGCCACAGCCTCCCAATCTTGGAGCCTGATTAAATCTCCCCGTAATTACCCGCACGCACTGCTACAACACAAATGACCTTAGCATATGATATCCGCTGGCTGAGCCCAGTGGAAAAAGACTTCAGGAAAAGGAAGGATAAGCGTACAAAACTCTGCCAGCGCCGCCAGGGTCTCCTCAGGACTGCACCGAAATAATAGGAGCCCTGAGGCCAGTTCAGAAGCCTTGAAACTTAAGCCCAGTTCTGCCCAGGATGTGATAAAATGTTCTGTTTTCTGTATCCCATCATCTGAGCACACACTCACCCCTCTGTCCCTCCCCACCAGACTCTTCGCCACCTTCCAAATAAACCCATGCAGGAGACTTAACATTTCATGGTGATGGATTTCTGACAAAATTTTCCAAGAAATAGATGGCCACCATTTCCTTACAGAATTTTTGGCATTCGCTGCCAGGTGTGTTGAACTCCCTCTGCAAGGAGTGCTGCACTCCATGCAGATTTCCAGGGTGGGAGAAGGGTGCTTCTCATATTCTGAACTGGGATCTATGAAAGGGTCACCAAAAAAACTGAGGCAAAGCCAAGATTTAATAATCTTTGTCTTGTTTTTCACCTGCAACCTCACCTGGGGTGTTGGATAAATCACACAACTGAAGAGAACGCCCAAAAAGCCTTGTAAAAAAGGAAAGCACTAACATTCATTTGAATTAGACTCTAGAAATGACCAAGCCAGGGACACAGGACCCTTCTGGAGCAAGAATGTGGAAATTTCTTAATTCTGCTTCCCAAATGAAGTACGCCCTAGAAAATTCCTTTTCCAACATGAAAAATGTCTCCACTTGGAGAGCCGTGTTCTCCTCTCACATCCACGTTCATCTATCCCACCATTCCATCTCGGCACATGACTGACAGAGAATAGACAAGCCATTAAAAACACATCCACCTCCAGCCACGGGGATAATGTGCCTCATTACAGCCCAGCTTTGTCACAGCGTCCTGACACTCCGGGGAGGAAAAGGAGGGGTGAGGACAAGGACTGAGCCAGGGGTAGGACAGAAACTGGGACTTGAGGAGCGGGACTCTGCTCCTCAATCCAGTCCAGTGGGCTCTCTAGGCCTCCTTAGGCTGACTGTGGAATTTTAAAAATCCTTGTGCTTGCCTGGGTATTTTTGTTGCATTTTTTTTAGAAACAAAAACTCTCCTTCAGTCAGACTGTATTTCTACCCCTTTAAACAGGTATTTGGTCAGGTAATCCAGAATTTTACTGAACATTCGAGATGGGCTTCAAACATCCCTTGTCTTTGCCAGGCTTGTGCATCGCCCTTGCACTGCAGACACAGAAACCCAAAGCCAAGCTGGGGAACCTCTGGCGGTGGGGCAGGATCCAAGCAGCAAACCTGCAGCAGGAGTTTGCTTTGCCCTTGCAGCGGGGGAAGGAGCAGAGCGAGCTGCTCATCCCCAGCCAGTTGCACCATCGCCAGGAGCCAGACAGACAGCCCGGTGTCTGTGAGTCCTCAAGGCCTGTGGCACTGCTGCCCAGGGAGCAGGACCGCTGCCAGATGCCAAGGCAGCCTCCCACCCACACACCGGGGATTCTGGGATCTAAAGGCAGCTCAGACTGAAAGAAAAACAAGAGACACCTAAAAAAAATGTGCTTTAGCCGTCTGGCTAGCACGGCACGGCAAAGCTCGAGGAGCTGCTGCAGCTGGCCCTGGCCAGAGCCATTGGTGGATGGATGCATAATCCAATATACAAAAGCCAGGCTGGTGGGGAAATTTAGGCTCCACAGGGATACTCTAAAACCAAGGACTCCTCCATTCCCGTTCCGCACACTTAATATGAAATCCAGGAACCTGCATTACCGTCACAGTTATTTTCTCAACAGCCACATTTCATTTCCATACGAGCGTTCAGAGCGTTCAGCCCTCACCTCCATCCCTGGCGACACGCAATCGATCAGAAAAGTGCATGTACTCGTGTCTGGAGCCATCAGAACCTGCTCCTTTTTTCTGGCTTCTTCCTTGTCTTGATCCCTGAACGAAGCCCTTGAGACCCAAAAATCACCTACTTCCAGATAACGTCTGGGGCAGCGTGGTGAGCCTCAGAGAGCAGGGTCCACGTAATAGTAAAATATACAAACACACATATGGAATTTAAACAAACTCCAGCCACCGTGTTCGGAACACAACCACAGAAATAAAGGTGCCATCTCGAGCACTGCACATGCAGGAGAATGGAGAGCACGATTAAAATTGCTAAATGAACTCCAAGGAAAAGCAGCTGGTAACAAATTGGGTACATCGATGAATGTTACCGAAATTCCACCCCAACCCCTCTAAAATTGCAGGCATCACTTACCCGGGGGGCTTTCCTCTTGTATTTGTTGTTATAGTCAAATTTTTCTTTCATTTCATCTAAGAGCTGGCCCAGTCTAGCTTTCTCCTCTTTCCCAGTATAATCCTGGCTGAGGAGGATATAGGATCTCCAGTTTGCAGAGTCAAAGCCCCAGTGGCAAGTCCTGTTTTCCAGCGATTTGTGAGAGTGGACCACAAATTTGTGAGGTGGGTACATGAGCCTGCAGTCCAAGCACTGGATGCAGGCTGCGCTGGGGTTACTGTAAAGCTCTGGCACCAGGAGTCCCTTACACTTCCCAAAGCACTCATGATACACCTTGAAGCTCTTCTCCGTGAGCTCCAGCTCGATTGTGCTCGAGAATTCCTTCTTGCAGTGGGGAGGATAGGTGCCACCATAAAGCAAGGCGTTACAAAGCCTCTCAGCGTCAGTTTTCGTGATGAGCCCGCAGGAAGGAGCGGAGAAGGGCAGGATGCCCATGACTTTGAGGATTTCCAGCTGGTCAGCAGTGCATCTGGAGCAGTAAATATGCAGCTCATCACACACCGAATTAATCTGCTGCAGGGAGAAGTCCCTGAGCACCGAGTTCAGGATCTGGGGCAAGCAAAGCCGCTTCTCTCCACCCACCACGAAGCAGGAGATGGTTTCCCCTTCCAGGATGGTCTCGCACCTCTCTGTGGATCTGTCCGAGGGCATGAAGAAGGGACCAGGCATGACCGGAGGAGGCTGGATGGGGGGCAGATGCAGTACAGGTTCCGCGGGGTCTTTGCCATTGTCTTTCTTGTACATCTCCTGTGCCCATCGTGCTGAGAAAGCAGCAGGGCCACCCAGGGAGCTCATAGAGCTCAGATGAAACTGTTCCAAGGTCTTCTGCAGTCCTGGATGAGGCTGGAAGCTGCTTCTACTTACAGTCTCCATTTTTTAGTTTCTATTCCCAAAACAAACAACAAAAATCCCCAGTTATCTTCCACCCTGGTACAAATCCACTTAAGGGATTTTTTTTAAGGAAAAAAAAATATGAACAAAATAAAACAAACCCACCCTTGTTTTTTTTTCCCTCCTTCCCACTCAGCAATCCACTAACGGAGAGGAAATAAATCCTTTTGTATGCGTGTCTCTGTCTTCTTTCTTTCCTCTTGGTTCGTTACAATTTCAAACCCTCCAAGTCTCCAAGCTGCCCCGATGGAGCACAGAATCACGGCAAAAAGAGGTCTTCATCCGAGCACTCACCCCCTCAGCCAGCCCCCAGGCAAACCGATCCCTCCTCCCACACCTCCGACACTCACACACTCACTCACACACACACACACCACCCACGGAAACACAAAAAGTCTGTGCCACGCTCCGAGCACCCGGGGCTCAAATATGTTCTGGCGGCTGCTGCTTCTCTGCAGTGATCCCCCTTCTGTCCATATCCACCGGAGGAAGGCGCGGGGGAGGAAAGCAGAAAGCGGGAGGCGGCAGAAGGCTCGGGCTGTGCGAGAACAACGCAGGAGGAAAGGCCCCGGTCTCCGGCGCTGCCGCGGGGGCTCCGCACGGGCGATGAGCGGCTCCGCTGCCCCTCGGGGTCCCTCTGCTCGGCCGGGGACGGCTCCTCGTCCCTGGGGTCGCCTCCCTGCCCCTAGTGCTGCCGGTGCTGTCGGCGTGCCGTGGGGAGCCGCGGAGAGAGCGCGCACATCCTCGCCGCTCCGCTCGCCAGCAGTGACTGAGAGTGCCTGAGAGCTGAGCTAATGCAGGCGGGCTCAGCCTCCCGCCCTCCGCCTCCCCCCCTCTGTTTGTTGGTGTCTGCCTCAGTCATTGAATCCCGGCCAAGAATGTGACCAACTCCCCAGGCCGGGCTCTTCCAGGAACAGCGCCCGCCTCCCCCTCGCTCTGCGCCGACACCAGCCGGGATGTGCCGAGCCGAGCCGGGACGTGCCGAGTCCAGCCGAGCTCAGCCGAGCAGAACCGAGCCGGGCCGAACCGAGCCGAGCCGGATCGAACCGAGCCCTGTCGAGCCTAACCGAGCTAAGGCCTGCCGAACTGAGCCGAACTGAGCCGAGCCGAGCCGAGCTCAGCCGAGCCGAGCCGGGCCCAGCCGAGCCGCTGCACGGGCGGGCGCGTGGCGCGGCCCCGGCGGCGGCGCCGGCGAGGGAGGGAGGAGGAGGGAGGGAGGATAAACTGCTGGGTTCACGGACCGCCGCGCCAACGAGGAGGGCCGGGAGGGCGACGGCTTTTTCCTCTCGCCGCTGGATCCCTGGCAGCGGGGAAATGGAGCGGCGGAGCACGGAGCGTGTGTGTGAGCCCTGCCCGAGCCCTGCCCGAGCCCTGCCCGCTCCGCTGCGGGCACACACCGCGCACACCGCGACCGCGGGCGAGAACTGCGCGGGCCGGCAGCGCCGAGCCCACCCAGCGCTGCGGGCACAGCGATCCACGCACGTGTGCCCCCCGTTCTCACACACGTGAGCCCCCTGCTCCACCACACATGTGCCCCCCGTTCTCACACACGTCACACGCTCCACGCGTGGCTGAGTGGGCAGAGCTGAGTGGGCAGAGCGGGAGCAGTGAGCCAGGGGCAGGCACGTGGGGTGGGTTCCTCGAGCCCAGCCCGCGGGGCCGGGGCCGTCCGGGTCACTGCGGGTCTGTCCCGTCTGTCCGGGTCTGTCTGTCCGTCACTCTGCCCGGGGGCACCGCCGCGCTCCGGGGCCGGGCTCCCTCTACCGACCGACCGGCTCAGCGCCGACACAGCGGGGACGGACACACGGACACCAGAGACCAGGGCACGGACACACGGACACCTCTGACCAGGGCACGGACACCTCTGACCAGGGCACGGACACACAGACACCTCTGACCAGGGCACGGACACCTCTGACCAGGGCACGGACACCTCTGACCAGGGCACGGACACACGGACACCTCTGACCAGGGCACACACACCCACTGCCCACTGGGATTGATAACCCCTGCCCAGCAGCACTGCCAAGTCTGTTATGGATTTATTATCCAGATCAGCAGTGAGATGCTCTTACTATTAATGTCAAATTTCAAAGCAAAAAACTGTGGCTTCTCCCTTTTTTCCATGGGCTACACCCCCAGAATTCTAACAAACATTTCAACCGGGACTAAGCATCACCATGAGGAACACGCTGAAAAGGTTTCAGCTGTTACCTCTGAGCTCTGTCAGACACGTGTGCCAAAAAGGGCAGGAGAGCACTTTCACACCAGGACAATTGTTAGTACTGTCTGTAATGCAGCAGGGACTTGAAGCACTGCTCATCTATAGAATGTGTGACACAGACACTGAGCTATCAGACAGTTCACCAGGGCAGGGTAACACAGAGAAAACACAGAAGAGGAGGAGAGCAATCAGAAAACACCACCACTGTGATTCCCTGGCAGTGTAATGGGGCAGGGAACACACCAAGCTCTCGTGTTTAATTTGTACTTTTATATTCTGAAATGCCAGTTGAGAGTAAAGGACAAAGGTGTCAGAGTTGCACAAGAAACAGCATTTCCCCTGAGAGGAACCCACCCTCACAGACCCAACTCGGCCATCAAGCCTGGAAGGGCTCAGAGAAGGCAGGGACCAAAGACGCTGGGTCAAGTCAGCAGCTGTGTCCTCATCTCCACCAAATTGTGAACAGAATGAACAGAAAGTCACTGGTGGCAAGAAGGACCCCTCTGTTTCCACAATGCACGTGGATTTAGTGATCCACAGGTGGAATTTTTAGGTATTACCACAATACCAAGGTTTAAAGACGTGATCTGACAGTCTAGGCCATCCAGTCCCTGTTGATTCCTGATTCCTAAATAAGTCACCACGTTAAGAGAAAGCAGAACTGACTTACGGAGTCCCCGATTCCTTTAAAGAACCAAAGTAATGCTTGCAGGAAGTTTGGAAACTTCTCAGCTCTGGAAGCTGGGTTTTACTCCCTCTTCTTTACCCCTCAGAAAGAAAGGACAGCAGTAGCTGCTGTAGCTCATTTTAAGAGAGGTGCCATTTTCTCTTCCAAATGACTTTTTAATGCAAGTAAATCACTGGATCGTGCAACAGATTGTTTATGGGTGGAATTCATAAACGGAATTCCTGAAGCAGAGGGGACTACCAAAAAGACAGGAAGGATGGGCTTGTGGTTAAGACAGAAAACTCAGGACATCTGGGGTCTATTCCCAGATCTCCCACAGACTTCCTGTTGCCTTGGGCAAGTTGTTCAGTCTCTCTGTGCCTCAGTTTCTGTCTCTGCAGTCCCCAGACGGTGAGCAATGAGAGTGGCAGCTCCTGCACAGAGATCTGTGAGGAGACAGGAGCCAACCTTCAGCTCCTGCAGGAACAATACAGGCAAACCTGCCCGTCTTCACATCCCCCAGACTCCTCAGAACCGCAGCAGGAGCAGGGGGAGCGATGGGAGCTGTCATGTGGGATTAAGGTGGCAGTGCCTTCTGAAGTCTCTGCCTCCCCGAGAGGGACCGAGAGCGCTGCACATCTGAAAAGCACGGTAATCTTTCCCCCAGTAACTGTTTGTCTTGCTCCAATTCCAAAGCCCTCTAGCTGGAGAAAGGAGAGGGGGAAAATATCTCCGAGGAAGGGCCCTAACACCACAGTGTTTTTCTCACTCTCTCCCTCTTCTCCTCCCCCTCTCCATTGGCTTCAAGGCCAACAGCTCCTGGAACACAAACACTCTTGTAAACTTCTGAACCACACAGCCCTATGGTGGGTGGGTGTTTGCTCCCTGCCTGCCAGTTCCAATCCACCCACAGATTCCAAAGGCCCAGAACAAAAAGCAGACTCCATTTTCCATATTTAACAGGCGATTCGCTTCCCTCCCCGGTGCCTTCACTCGCACAGCTCGGTGCCTCTCCCAGCACCGTGTCCCACCTTCCCCACCTGCCCCAGGCTGAGGGCGTTGTGTGGATGTTTACACAGACTGCAGGAAAAGCATTTTCCAAGTGGATTCCCCCAGCCCTCGCTGGTGTTCAGTGCCTGCCTGCTCAGGAGGAGCTGGGGATTATCGAGGGCCGTGCTGCAGATTGCAGCTCTTTGACAAAACGTTTGGGAAGGGCCCACTGTGCAGGTTGTGAGCAGGGCAGGGGAGCGTGGGTGCGAACACCACACGTCAGGATTGCTGCTGCAGCTCCCAGCAGCTGGGCACCCCTTGGAGCAGCCAGCGTCCCCAGGGCTGGACACACTCGGTCCTGACTGACATTCCAGGACTGACTGAGCCCATTCCTGCATGGCCAGGACACTGCCCTGCCTCTTCAGACACGATCATGTATCCAGGCCATCACTGTCACTGATCAGCTCATTTACAGTGACCCTGGGGAACGCCAAACTATCCCGAACCCGGGAACGAGGCTTCAAAGTCTCTGCTGAAAAGGATGGTCTGAGAGTCAGGTGATCTTTCTCAATCAAATATTTCACACAGATTCCACTTACAGAAAATTATTTCACAAATGGGAACCGACTTATCTTTTTGGCCACAACAAATCTGGAAATGTTTCTTTCTAAAGAGACCACTTTTTTTTTTGGTATGTATTTCTCTGAGATATGTACCGAAATACGTGAATTTAAAACATCGAAAAAGTCACAAGAAAATAAAAAATTTATGAATCAGTCATACTTAAGATGAACCAAACAAAAATTTTCACTGTCTGAGAAGGTCAGAAATGGACTAATGTAAAAAAATATATTCTTCTTTTTTTTTTTTAATTAATGGAAAAATCACCTATCAACAGCACACCTTTCAGGGCAAAGAGCTCAGTGAGGTGGCTGGGACTTGTCAGCAATGACAGCCAGGCTGTATTTTATGGCTTTGGTTCAGCTAACTCATTTTATTTTACCATATTCACAGCAGTTTCTCCCAGCCCTAAGAAGAGATTCAGAATTCATCAATATTTTCTTAACCCTTTCCCAATTCTTGGTTCTGTCCAGCCCAGCTCCACAATGTATCTTTTGTATCTTTCCAAAGTACAGAACCTCCCCGGTGAATGCACCTCACAGACACATGACCTGCTTCAAACATGGCTTGGTCTCAAACACAGGAGGTGAGGGGTTGTTAAAAGCACATGAAAGAGCTCTCCATCCTCTGGAATTCTTTCCTCCCAAGTTGCCTGGTATGTTGCTCAGGGCTGCCCCTCCCTCCCACACACTCTGTACCTACATGTCCCAGTGGATGCTGCCAAACACCTCACTGAGGGAAAAAAAAAAATCAAAAAAACATGCTTGGTACCGCCAATAAAAAAATTAATTTACTGGGAAAAGTCGGAGTCGGAGAGGGGAATAAAGCTGGAACTCCTGGGACTGCCAAAGCAGGACAGGCCTGCAGGGCTGCCCAGGCTTTGGGCCATTTGTGCTACCAGCAAATCTTTCATTTCCCACACTGCCAGCAGGGAGCAAACAAGGCAGAGCATCCACAGCCAGCACAGACAGGACTGGAACACCAAGGCAGAGCCTTGTCCCTGGGAACAGCTCCCACTTCACCTGGAACCCACCTGCAGCTTGAAGGGCCCACATTCCCTTCCTCAGTAGCCTCTCACTGACTCCAGGCAGTTCACACATCCCTCCTGGAACCAGTCTGAGATCATTTCCCATCTCATGGCACCCACATTTTGCAAATAAAAGGATGTGCTCAAGTGCTGGGAAGGCTCTGGGTTATCCCCCAGGCTCTGAGCCTGCTCTCTGTTCTCACGTCCTTTGGTGCTTTACAACAGCTTAAGATCCAAAAGCAG